GTTATAGAGTTTATAAAGCTAAATAAAGTTTATATAAAGTATATATAATTATTCTATTTCCTATTCTATCTTTCTTTCATTTTGAGTTTAACTCAAAGACTTTGAGATAATCTCTATTTATATAATTTATTTATTTATTATAATTTTCTTTTATTTTGAGTTTAACTTAAAAACTTTCAGATAATCTCAATTTATATAATTTTCTTTCATTTTGAATTTAATTCAAAGACTTTAAAATAATCTCAATTTATATAATTAATTCATTCATTATAATTTTCTTTCATTTTGAGTTTAACTCAAAGACTTTAAGATAATTATATATATATATTTTTTTAAATAAAATCTTGATAATATTGAGATAATCTCAAAATGATTAAATTTAATTCAGATAATAAATTAAACTCAATTGTTTTGAGATTATTTTATAATAATAAAGATAATCTCAAACTCAAGTTTGGTTGTATATCTGTATCCTTTTCTATATCAAAATGTATATTTGCCTGAAATTGAAGGTTCAAAACCTCAACTATATTATTTATGTATTTTGGGTCTAACTAGGGCTTTACTTTATATAAGGTAATGTGTTAGTTAGGCCAAGAGAAGTTTGCATAAGGTGTGTAAGACTCTATCTATCTATATACAATGTCTTTCTTTCTCCGCCCCTTTTCGCACTTTGCTAGCTAATGCTAATGCTAATACCAACGCCAATATTATATTCCTTTCCTTTCCTTTCCCCAACTCCTCTTCCTGAAATAAAAAAATAATCATCATCACATCGTAAACTCAAACTCAGGCATCCATCTGCGAGTGACGCGTCTGAAGTGAAGCAATTTGACAATCGTGCTTCATTATCGAGTCATAATACCCATTCATGTGCAATATGCATCTCCTATCCAGAACACCATTTATCCGAATGAGAGACCCACCCCCTTCCCCCTCCATCCCATCCCATGATAATCATCCAATCATCATCAAATTAAGAGTAAAAACCCCATGAAGCTGCTTGCCTGCCGCAGTACATCTATGGGTATGTTTATTATGCAGTAAATAGCATGTCTAATGCTCAAAGGCAATGACATAGCGACCTAGTGCTAAACTCCCCAGGAATGTACCGCCCAAGACGGATAGGAAATATCCGATATTCATCGTCATGATTGCGAGCATACTATATACCAATTAGTATTTAATTCTAATTCTCACCAGAATGTTAGAAAAGAAAAAAAAAGGGAGAAACTCACAGTAACCATCCCACAGCAGCAATAATAGTATCCATAACAGCCCTCACCGGATCAACACTCAATCTCCACGGTCTCACCGCCATCGCGCGTGTCTTAACCACCATAACATTCTCCTCAACCCCATTCTCACTCAACACCATATTCTTGGCATCGCTATCCACGGAAATCCGTTCAGATTTGGGACCTTTTCCAGCAACAGTGACGTAGCGACGGTTGGTTTCGGCGGCGAGCCAGGCGCTTTCTTTCCAGGCTTTGACGGCTAAGAGACCCCGGAAGAGGGTTGCGAGGATGATTAGGAATATGCAGGTCCCGGCGTACCCGGCGTCGCTGCTGGGTGTCCACATGTTGGAGTAGAGGGCTGTGGTTTTGGATATGAAGAATGTCATGGACATCATGGACATGTTCATGCTGGTCATGCTGGTCATGGTGCTGTTGGAGGTGCTCATGTCCATGTCTGATGTTGACATATCCATTTTGGAGGAGGGATGGGTTTGGAGTTTGTTGATTGGAAGTGAGAGTAGTGATGTAATTTTTGGAAGATGAAGAACCGCCGGCGGAACGTGTGATGGATTATTGTTGTTGAATGATTGATTGATATTATTAAGAAAGAGAGGACAAGAGACTCTTTTAATATGGTTGAGGTAAGAACGATGAGAAGTTATGAGGTAGATATAGAAGTGGATCTGAGGTGGTTGGGGGGGAAAGGTCTATTTAGGTATAAGACTCTGAAAGTATTCCGATTCCGAATTGATGAGCTGGTTGCGAATGTTTCAGTATTATCGACGGGGTAGATGGTCTGTAAAACTAGATGAAGATGAAGTAATTCTTGCTTGGTAGGTAGGTAGGTAATTTGGCTGTCAAGGTTGAGTTTGTAAGTGAGTATTCAAGTGAATGTCAGACAGTCAAGGTCAAGCCAGCCATTAAGAATGTATCAAAGATGTCAAGGGTATCACTTATCAAGAAGATTTATGGCCCATAATTGAGAAGATTTCATATCCCTTACCATTTTTATCTGCTCTTTTGCTTTATCTTGGTGGTGTTGAAAAGTTATCAAACCCACCAAATAAAGTGCTCAAACACGCTCAGTCTAACTTCATTAAGCTTAAATATCGTTAAAACTCGCTCGATATGTTGCTGCTTTAATAACTTTAGATATATTCTTATCTTATCTTTATGAATTCCGTGCCGATGATTATTTTTAGCCGGTAAAGAGGAAAAGATCATGATCTGCATTGACACTTTTGTATTTGCTTTTGCTTGCCCTTAGTACCTTACTGTCATCATACGATCAGTCAGCTTTACTGAGCCATGTTCGATATGTTCAATACCGGTACTATAAGTGGAAGTATCATTAAAGGACGGTACATATGAATATGAGTTGAACCGAAAAGGAAACAGATGATCTTTGGACAGCCTTCAGAAATTTGGAGTTCTCCTTGGGTGTGTGTGCATTGTACAAGCAGAATTGTTGATCGGAAAATATACATCGCCCGTTCTGGACTTGACGCTTTGTTGCGGGGGGAAGATCCATCAGGAAGCCAAGTTTCTGGGATTGTGTTCTGATGCTACTTGGCCGGTTTACATTAAGCAATGTGATTTCAGTTGACAGGTCATGTCAATTTAAGATATACGTGTCTAGAGCCGCTCTCCAATAAACCTAAATCATCACAGACAACGATCTCACACACAGTACAGTTCAAGTGGGGAAAACGGATATGAATTAAGCAGAAATTCTCCTTTACTCAAATGTTACCAATACACACTTCAAAAGTTTCCAATGCTCGTCCTGGATGATTCCCATTCAAGGATAATATTCTGACATGGAAAGACACTCTATACCTGCCATGCCTTCAACACTATCCCAAAATGCCCAATTTTTCGGACTACTCATGGCATTTCCTCGATCAACTTTCTCCTGATATTCCTCTCGACTTTTCAATGCATAATGATGCAGTGCTATTCGATCTTTTGTGGGTGAATATCGTCTTATAGGTGCCTCAGCCCCATTCTCATCAACAGTTATTGACTCATTTTTACTCAAGACTTGATGGACGGTGTTTGTACCAGCATAATGAGAAAGTTTGGCAATGGACTTGCCTAGCACATTATGCCCTTCTCCATCCCATATACAATCGATGTAGGCCTCTCGGACGGATTTGGCTCTCTTTAACAGACCTGCCGAAGAATGCGTCTGCCATGAAGCATATACTGCCCCAACGTTTTTATCCTTCTCATATGTTTCCAGAAACTGATTCAGGTTCTCCTTTCCCGTCATCTCCAGATATTCGTCGGCGTCTAAGAAAGCCATCCAAGTGTGGTTGCTCCGGTACTTATCGACACAGAGTCGGTAGACATATTCTTGCATGTACATGGTGTGTTGTTTCTCATCGAAGTATTGGAAAGTTACATGCTCTCGGGGAATACCCAAGTCTTCGATTTCCGACAGAGGCGGATCAGAACCATCGTCCATGATGTAAAATCTTTTAATCCCAAGATTATAATAGTGGTGGACGAACCATTCGGGCAAGTCGAGTTGCTGATCTTTAACTGCCATACACACGGAAACATACTCGTCGTCTCGAGTGTCCTGCTTGGATCCGAGAAATGGTTTCTTGTGTTTATTGACTGGCATCGTGGTTTCTAAACTCGTTGTATCTTCCAAAGGATTCGAGTCTATTGAATCCGATGTTTTCGTTCCACCAAGTCCACCAAGCATTGCCTTGAACTCCTCGAAAGTTCCCGCGGGGCTCCCATGTTTCGCAGGTGTCGGACGTTGAATTGTGTCTACCGCTTCATCGGCCTTTGATGCCTCTGGTGCGGGATTGTCATTAGGCTTCACTTCTACCAACATGTAATGAATCATGACCAGCGCCGAGACGCATAGAAAAGCAAACTTCCATGGTACTCCATGAGTTCCAGATAGGAAGTTAAAGAACATCTTCGAGAGATGGTGAAGAAAGATCGCGAACTCTAGTGGTTGTTTTGGTGTATTGAAGAATCGGAATGATTTATGTGGCCCTATCTTAGTTATGCAGGGGAGAATATTGAGGAATTGAGGTGGCGTTTTTTTGATCAAGCTGTGTGAATTTATTTACCTCGAGAGAGCTTATCCCAGGACTAAAGTTCTATTTTGCATCATAAAATCCAAGACAAGTCTTCTCACATACCAACATCATATTTATTGATACAATATCGCATCCACCAATTGTCACAATAAAAATATCAATTCAAGCCATAGCCATCATTCTTCAGACAGTAGGGAATATGCCGAATAGTCTTGGCAAATACTCATTTCTCTCCCTATGCGAACGAAAGTTCTACGGCATATGCTATAAATGCAATATATCCAATGGGGTATTATTGTGAAGGAAATTGCACGACGAATGGGAAAGTCTATGATAAACAGCTGCTATGATCTATCTGGCGGTTCAGTAACTAGAGTTAAATTCCGATAGATAAATAAATGCATTTCAAACTTCATCTCCAACGTACCGATCATACAGCCCCGCCTTGTAATTCAGCCCCAGAATCGACCATATCCATATCTTCCGAACGGGTGCTATAGGTGTGTTTGTTTGACATATCTTATCACAGCCTAATTACTTAATTATTTTTAGGGAAAAGTATCTCTAGGAATGGTTCAACTTGAAGGGGGATCTTCTCACAGTTAATTTGTTGCTCCTTGACGTCATGAACATTAGCCTAATCAAAATCGGCGCAATCATAATCTCGGGAGTATTGTAAATTTTCCTTGCAAGTTCCAAATGTCACGGGGTTTTTTCTGTGGACAGTATTCAGTATCGTGTCTTGTGTGACCAATCAACTATCAATACAATGCATCGCATTAGCTTATGTACATCTTGCTCAAGAACCTAGTATCTCACAGTACTGGCTCTTGCTCTCGCCATAGCTATAGTCATCATTGTCGACAATGCGCGGAACAACTTACAACTCACAAGGCTTTAAACAGCGATAATTTGATAATGAGCATGGGAAAGAAAGGGGCATCATGTCATAGTGGGATAGATACCAGGATATTCTGGACCTTTGAGTTGAAGGTTAGTTGGAAGTTAGAATTGTAATCTTACTTTATAATTGTGGTATGATGGTATTAATCTCATGTATTGAGTTGATTGAAGTTTATGGCTAAATGGGCGTAGGAGGTTGCAGACTTGCAGTGGAAATGAACAGAGAGAGAGATTCATATTACTGTCCTGTTACTTATGCGTTTTGTCCAAATATCATGACATCCATAAGTTGTCTGCAGGCAACAGGAAGCGCATTCGCACTTACGGGTTTATTTGAGGAAATCACTCTTAGTATTAGTCTCAGTCTCTTACTGCGTATGCGTGCGACAAGTTTCGTGCCCATACATTCCGCTATTTTCTATCTTTAGTTTCTCTTCATCGGTAAATCAAATATCGAAGAATCGAGATAGCAGCATTTGGAATATATGGTTGGATTTATCGTTTTGCCCACTGGGCTCGAATTTTCATAATGATAGTATTCTCTAGTGTCATCTAAATTGCATTTCTTGTGATAAGTCTACAACTTAGGGTTGCATAGTAATTTGTGATGGTTTGATGGAAATCGACTCTTAAATTGTCAGGATACACTTAGTTGAATGACATTGACTAGTTTCCAGAAACGTGATTTTTGTTGAACTCTGAACTTTGGCACACAACAGCTTTCACCTCAGTGTCTTGAGATACTGGCTTTTATTCCATCCTCATCACAGTCCCCTAGACTGTAAGATAGTGTTATAGTAGACCTCGCCTACACCCCATAACACATCACATCAAATCAAACCATAATGTGAGCTTTAACCTTTTTGATTTGAGAAACAGGCATCATACTTCTCACATTCAACTTTAAGACTATAATCAGTACTTCCCAAGACACCCACCAAGCAGCCCAAACCAACCACGAAGCAATGAAGCGCCGCATTATACTCATCACCACCCTTCACCATCTCCTTAAAACCAAGCGTACCCACCAAGCTCACACAGAACACCAAGGTATAAAACCACGCCAAACTCGCATGGACACGTGCTGAAATACCTGTATCGATATATTCAGGCATATTAAACACAACCGAAATATCCAACAAGATGGACCAAAAAGCGAGGATTGTAATGGTAACCACTAGAAATGAAAACTAAACTTGGTCACACTATATCAGCATGCGCGTACGCAGAGCAGTGGAAGAATATGGATGTAAGGTTACATACTGCCGCTATCAAGATTGATGTCGTGGAAGATATAATGCCATGAAATTCGTAAATAGAAATATGAGGTTGAGAGCTTTTATATCTCTTCTAAAACGACCTTCTAGATAGCTAGCTATATGTATAAATAAAGTACTGTATAAGCATAGTGTATCGATGAAAGAAAGAATCTTGTTAGAAATTCTTCTTAGGAATTCTTACCATACATCGACACACCAGGGTTTTTCGAATCGAAATTGGCTGGATCAAGCGGGTTGGTCAGTCAGTATCCATCTCCTCGAAATAGGTTAGGTACACCACTCGAATTATGCAGCTACAATCAACGGCCGTATGAATACTCTCACCATAATTCTCGCAAGTACTTTTCATCGTTTGCTTTCCGTCGATACAATATGTCCTGCATACCACGCCGAGGTAGAATGCATATGTATCATCAAGAGTTAGCGGAAAGTGTATCTCATCGTTTACATAAGTTTTGTTGAGCGATAGTATAGGTATTGATGTGTTTCCTAGTGCGAGGATGATCAGTGTAGATAGCATGACTATTATGGCGCAAATTAATGTGACGCTCTTGGCGTTGATGAGCTGGATTCTCATGTTGATGGTATGTATAGCTGTGGTGAGGATTTGAATTTTCGTTGTTTTCTGTCGTGGGGTTTTGGGGTCTTGGTGCAGTGTGGTGTGGTGTGGTGTGGTGTAGTACGCTTCATGGTTGAAATTGTCGGACTTTTTCTGTCTCGTGGCAGTCATTCACTTTGACTTGTAGGCGAGGCTTCCTAGAAGTCATGGGATTTACTTGTTCTTGTTCTTGTGAGTAAGGGTTGAAAGGGGGGTCTGCATCAGAACACATTCGTTATAACCCTCTTGGTCATACCGTTTTCGATCGGTGCTCTTGTGCTGGGAAGTAGAGGAGCGTCTATTCTATCTCTTGATATGAAAGATCTTTGGATTACTGCTGGATCCTAGTATCGCCTATGATCAATATGATATATACACTATGATTTGCAACTTGAAGAGCAATGATCATGTTGAAATTTGAAAGCCTTGATAAGTAAGTGAGTGATTGAGGATAGCCGTGAGAACTGTGCTAAGTTCGAGTACCTTGTCGATATTTATCGCGTAAATCGATATATTGTTATGTTAGTATACCCCAGACAGTCTCTTTTTGTGCCAAATCATCTTCGAGATGTCAGAAATGATATCCCAAAACATTTAGGAATAACTCGGACGGCTTAGTATGGTCCTAGGTTATTTGATTGGTATATCCTATCAATGCTTCTACAACTATAGATCACTCACTACCTTGATAGATGTCTATAATAACAACAACATCACAGTTCTCTACGTACTTTCTTTTATCCGAAGTTTGTATAGTTAATTCCGTATATATCTTTTTCGGTTTCAAAGTCCTGGATCTCGATCTATTCATACATGAAAGGTGATTCACAAAAGCAACATCGGACTTAAGCTATTGTAATCTTACATGTCCCCTTCTTTCCTTTCTGAAATATTTGCTAATGTTGGATAATTCGGCATCCTTAATGTTCTGGCTGTTGGCGTATACACATCGCTTTCGATCCATCTTGATAGGCGTCAAGGGTCGGTTTCAAATTTCAATGCACTATGGATGTTTGTATCCCAGCATCAGTGCTGGGCTGTACTGGTATTTATTTATCTTGTCTAAATGGGTTGATAGTTTTATGGGCTCATGCACTTTACTATGTCCATTACCTTCTGAAGATAATGAGTGGGCAGAAGGAACTCTGATCCCGAGGTTGTGGGAGAGGAATCCGAGTCATGTAGGACTTGAAAATTAGGTACGGTGTATTGTAGGGAGCGTTCCTTCATTCTGAGTGTACTTCTGAGTCTCCTGGTACCCTCTCGCGTCAAGTCATTGGCTTCATATAACGATGAGGGCGATGAGGGCGATGAGAACCAGTATCCTTATTGTACAAAATCCCGCTCACATGCGAGTCGGCTCATGGATATAAGGTGAATTATCTACATAAACAAACATACATCAGTCAGAGTACGACGTACATAATGCATCAATAGATGTCAGAACAAATGAGATTGCATATCCCGTTTGATTCAAATATAGCTTCTCCTCACACTCTGGCTGCCGCATCAACACTCCAACATAATGCTCAATGTTTTACAATAGACGTATTTGATGACCGTGGTGAGTGGTCAGATTATAGTTGAGTGGTGATGATAAAGGACTGGAAGGGTTTATTTGGACTGTAAACATGTTTTGTTCTCTACTTGCGATAATCCGATTTTATTTTGCGAGCGCTTTGCTGTCATAGAAATAGATAACAAGACAAACTCTTACTCTCAAAACATCCTCATATAATTAAAAACCAATATCACACTTTCCAAACCACAATATCAACCAATCCAACACCAAAATAAAACATAACACACATACACATACCCCCACAATACATTACAGCATAACACAGCACAGCACAGCACCCTCACCTCGCTTACTCCACACACACATATATATATCCAAACAATCCCTCTCCCCCCAACAAACACAACAGGCATTCAACTTAGGTCAGTTGGACAGGTCAAATTGTGTTTAAGAGAGGGAAAATTGAAAAGGTTGGCCAACAAAAGTCGCATTTACGATCCGAGTAATAAAATCCCATTCGGGGATTTTTCCTAGCCCGTCGCGGGCTAGGTTTTTGCCCTTTGGGGAAGGGGACGGGTTGGAGATTGGTTTTTTTTTGGAGGAAGGGGGGAGGAGAGTGGGGCGCTTGGATGGATGGTGGTGGTGTGGTGCAATGTGGTAGAGTTGGGGTGAGGTGAGATGGTGATGGGATTCTGTTAATTTCTGAAAGATATTTTTCTCATTGTTTACTTCTCGCCCCACGAACGTGGATAGCATATAGAATTTTTTTGGGATTTTGTTCTTTAGATTTTGTATTGCTGTTGGCGATTTTGATATATTGCCAGTTTGGGACGATGAGGTTAGGCACGCGATGTGGAGACGACAGCGAAGTGAAGCTTGGCCCTCTACGCGATATTCACTATACTTTATTTCTGATTTGTAGGTTTGGTAGGCATGTGCGCATCAAGTGTCTTGTCTGTACAGAACGAATTGTAATGCTTCACAACGATTATATTCTGAATTCTTACATACCCGATTTCGGTATATCATCCGAGTACGGGCCGGATGTGATCTATATACGTTTTCCCCGACCAACTTCAAAGATCCATGTTATAGAGCAAGTCCAACCTGGCTTTCCCTGACATAATCAAGCTCCAGTTCCATACTTCTCCCTTCTCCATCAACCTCTACCACCCTCCCTCTTCTCACCGCCAGCCTCACTGGCTCACCTATCTCTAATTTCACCGGATCTTTAACCCAGATTTTGTACGCTCCCCTATTCTCCGTATCCTCACTACTGTCATCTTTCCCTCCATTTATCCACACACCCCACCCCCAAGTCCCCGTGGCAACACAAGCCACTTCAAAAGCAGTCCATATCAATACCAGTAATCCTGTTCCGCGATACCCCGCAATTCCGACCGCTTTACCGTACTGATTAATAGTCGCGACCGCTTGGTACTGGAGTGTTGTCGTTATGCTGTTTCCAATTAGGAGCAAGATAGTCATTAGCTGTTATACTGGTTAGTGCTTGTTTTCTGTGTACAAGAATGTAGTGTAACGAGATTTTCGGGCCACAAATGACTCAAGCGATGAGATGGTAGATGATAAATCACATACAATAGAGAAAACTCCCAGAATCCAATCCACCTCAACACCCAGAAATGATATAAACGCCAAAACCAAAACAATGCTCTCTAAGCAAAGGGTAGCGGTATATATAGTGAATGCGGCATGTAGCTCTGCATGATATGATTCCTTGAAGGTGTTCTGAATCTCGCCGAGTTTGTGCGCAAAATTGCCAGCTGGAAGTTGTATTTGGACCGTGGAGTTAGGATTGGTGAGTTGGAGATGAATAATGTTGGCGGGAAGGAAGTTGACTCGAGGATGTTAATGACGTTATACAATCATCAGCGTGTGGATGAATGATACATACCATTGGATGAAGGTGGCGAGCAGGTCACGTTCTGTAACTCGGGGCTTATATTACGAGTGGATACATAATTCCCTTCGCAATGACTTCGAAAATATACATTTAACACGTCGGTGATGGGTAAAATGTAGTTGCTACTTTGAAATACATCTTCTTTTAACTGTGTGGTATCAAGGGAGATGATAGGAAATTCGAGTAAGAAACCTAAGTCTTGACCTATGTTAATAAATATTCCTGTTAGTGAGATAACGAGGCATGTTAGTGCTGCTGGTAAGACGATATTCTTTGGAGACATAGTAGCATAGTAGTACTTGGAATAAGTGACGATTCCTCTGACAATTGAATAGATTTTGGGATAAAAGGAACTTGGGGATTTATTATGCAAGGTATATGAGAGATCGAAGGACCAAAGAAAATGTGAGTGGTCATCTACTATCTTTAATGATTCACTGAGTCTTTGCGGCCCGCAAACATAGAATTTGAATGCGACATCAGGGCAACTGGAACTGACAGTAGCCGCCAATACTCGCAGTTGTATAGGGGTAACAATCAAATAAAGGTTCATTGTGTCTCAAGAAAGTATAGTATCAGAGCGAACCTCATAAATTGAAGTTCGCAACAGAAGAATCGAGAATACATCTCCTACTTCTGCTTCCTTCCTAGTACTGGGCAAATATATTTCAGAATGATACACTCTAGCATATAACGTAGTTGCTTCACTTAAAGCACCCGAACACCGTCATAGTCCATGATATGCAATGGGAATTTGCATATTTCATAGTCAAGGTAGTAGTATCCCGTAGTCTGCTCGATGGCAAGCCGATGAATCTTGTCATGGTACATTAAGAGAAGCGCCATGAAGACGAGAATGTCAACTTAGGCTAAGGAGTCATCCAAAGCAATAAAAACAACCGAACTTCATGGTTGAAGCAGGCTATCGGTAATGACAGCCAAAAGCCTATGAGATGAATGCCTACTAATGATCTGCATGTAAGCCAATATCATACCCGGCTCCGATACCCGACGAATTACGGAATTGATAATGCCGGCCTCCACTCTTGAATGTGCTTTGTCATCTTACCAATCTTGGCATATATATGCTCAAAAGAAACGTGTACACTTACATCAATCCTCCCATCTCAAATATTGATACAATATCTCTCTACCTTCATCATGGTTCTTAAAGTTGAGGTTTGTAACGACGATGATATGCACCGGGTATTCGAGATCTTTTGCAAGGCATTCGGTACCAAACACCCCATGCTTGAGGCAATTTATCCGAATCACGATACTCCAGCTGGTAGAATCAGTGGAGGCAAACGCATGCTGGATATCAAAAATGAAGACCTTCACACAACTTTTCTGAAAGTGGTCGATACCGATACAGGCGCTATGATTGCCAAAGCCAAATGGAATATTTGGAAAGGTGTCATCCCACCGGAAGTTGATCTAGATGGTGACTTTTGGGAGACTGATGAGGAGAAAGAGTGGGCTCAACATTTGAACCGCGAATTTTTGATATCCCGTCGAAAGGCCATCAAAGAAGCAGGAGGTCACTTAGTCTGTAAGAGTATTGAGTCATTGATTGTTTTTTTGTTGACTCATGATTAATTATAGCTTTGGATATCCTTGCTGTCGATCCCGATTATCAGCGTCGAGGAGCAGGTCGTCTTTTGGTGAAATGGGGAACTGCAATCGCTGATGAGCTTGGATACGTGGTATGTAGAATCTGACAACGAGTATTCGCGAGGGCGTTCAGTCAATCCCATACTTTCTATTGGCAAATGGATCTAATATGAGTGCAACTTAGGCGATAGTTGAAGCGTCTGAGGCCGGTCGTCCTTTGTATGAATCCGAGGGATTCGAATATGTGGAACACTGTGAAGCGAACATACCTGAAAGATGGGGTGATCGGAAAGGAGAAAAATTTATATGGATGGTGAGGCCAGCGAAGAAGTTGACCTGAGTATATATGATGACATCTCCTTTGAAATTGAGTCAAGCCCTTGATCAGAGGTTTGAATTTGAGATCTGATACGGCGGGCCGAGCGAGAACTATGTAAGACTCTCACGTGCTCACGAGCCACTATAATCAGCCACTTCATCAAAAGTAACTTCAAGGAAATGGATCCATCTTTACGAAAACCAATTGTCATCAAGTCATCTTTTCTGCCCCTCGTTATGAGTATCACCAGAAGATATTTCGCGTAGCGCTGTTAGGGGATTTTTGAATCGCTGTGCATGTTGGCAAGTGCGAATTGCCTGCTAGTTTCAAGAATTGAAGACTCGGGATTTGTGAATGCTATTCATCCTGATCATTCTTATTACTATTCTCATGGATTGGATTCTGGCATTCGGTTGTGTCTTGTTGACTGCAGTCATTGAGCAGGATAGCACTGTCGAGTAGGGGCTTTCTCATCCTTAAAGAAGTATCTCAGGGGCTCTATAAAAGGTGATGAAAGAGGTAATTCGTGAGCCAGAAGAGGACTACCAAATGAACATATCGACCCTTGAGTACCACTTGTTTTGAGAAATTAGCCTTCCGTTTTAATATCTTCGTATTGATGCATTTCTCTCAAGTGACGTGATGAGACGGTTTCATCCGATACCCATAAGCTTGATGCACAAGTCTTTCACGAATTGAAGGTCGGAGATAGAAAGGCATGAAGGAAATCCGGGGACCGACTCAGCGACCTAATTGCTATGCATATCCTCTTCAATCCAGTAACATCAAACCCTGACAGGTATTATTGGTACCAACAGTTTGGTACCATCGTCATTTTGATGATGCAGCTCCACACTCACTGTAGCTGCCAATTTTCACATAAGATACCTTGCAACCATCACCTCTCACAATTCCTGAAACGAAACCTGCAGATAATGAACATGACGCAGTTTCTTCAACCGTGTGAGTGTACTCGAGTATAATGGAACAATGAAAGAAATGGATGTCACTCACGCCCGCAACCTCTACCGCAACATGCACACTGATACCTACGCTCTTATGAAGAGATAATGATTCAAACGGCTACTCAATATCCTCCCCCTCCGCCACCATAATTCAAACCGTGATTGTATCTATACTACTCGTCATAATTCTTCCCCCTAGGCTAGGTCTCGCCCTACGAATATACCGGCGTAACGGCGGGTTTTTAAATTGCGGAGCTACTCAAGGCGGATATTATGAAACGACGAAATTGATGGCGCAGGAGTCAGCTGGGAAAATGGGGTTAGGGTGGAGACAAAAGGACTCAATTACACAGCCAGAGGAGATGGAGTCGACGGTATCAACGAGTACGAATGTGGGAGGCTACGAGTCCAGAGATTCATGGGTTGGAGGAAATGAAGAGGGAAGGGAGAAGGGAGAGAATAGAAATTTTGCGTTATTGATTTGTGGGCGGAATATGTTAGACTGCACGTTTTGGATCAAGGCTTTATAGGCTTTGAGAAATGGCGAGTGGGAAATCTCGGAGAGGATTAATACTTATATGATTTGATGATAGAAACAAGAATATACCCAGATTGTGATTGAGTGATAATTTTCTCATTAAAATCGGCGCAGCATGAAACTTAGATATAACGAATATCAACCACTTCCTTCCCTTATTTTCAAACAGTGGTTGCAAATTAGACTCAGAAATTCTCTTTTACATCTGAAATACTCCCATCTTCAATTTGAACATGCACACTCAACTCACTCATCTGATTCCCATCCCATTAACCAATCACACAGCGTTCCTAGAAGTTTTGTTGCACGTCTGAGAAAAGTAAGGAATTTGCTAGATACATATTTCACACTCTGAGGTCTAGGTAATCTAGAATGTAAGCTTGCCTGGCAAGCTTACTTATTGTAACTTAGGGTCTGTTTAACTCATGCCTCGCATAATAAATATATTATATATAAAAAAAGTGCACACTAACTTTTTTTACATTCCATTTCTCTGAATACACATTTTCGAGACTATTCTGTTTGAATCAACCTAACAATGGAGTACAAATATATATTAATCCTTATATAAAAGAATATATTACCGAAATAGAAAATAAAACATTTTGTTATATAATATTTTCTTTACATTTCACTTCTTCTTTCGTTAGTGTTTCTTAGACCACCTTCTACCCAATTTGAATATAATTTCAATAATTATAATAACAATAATTATCTGAATATTTTAATATTATATATTTTATTACCTTATCATCGCTCCCTTTTTGATTATTTTATTATTATTCTTTCTTTCCCCCCCCCTCATCCTTTTTTTCTATTACATTTTATCCCATATCAGTTACATTACCAATATCTAAAAAAAACTCGGATTCGAAAATATAATAGAAAGTTTATAATTATTATAATTATTATCATTATAACCACTACTTCTATCTATAATCAAAAGTATTTTTGACCTAGGAATCATTAATATATATCGAAATTAATTAGATAAGAATAGTTGAAAGAACTACTTGATAAACATTTGACTAGAATATAAAGTAATCTAAAAATCTTATAAAAGGGATTTAAAG